CTAAGGGCTAAGCCATTCCCTGCTGTGGTCAATCCGAGTCTTTTCTCTTTACCTCAACAGCTTTTTCCAGTGCCTGTGACTCGGGTGCTTTTAGAAATCAAAGTTGCTTCAATGCAGTCAAGCCCCCACCGATGTTGGGTGGTGGGGAGCAAGAATGGGACTGGATGATTATTCTGCAGGCAGCAATGGTTTATTTTAGGAAATAAAAGAAGTGCTGGGGAGAAGTTTCCCAGCTGTTGTATGTCTGTAAGTGGCACCTAGAGATGGATGAGTTGGCAGAGATAGACAAGCAAGGGAGTGTTCACATGCTGGCCTGGTTGGTTGGGAAGGGGACTCCTACCCAACTTGAAGGAGCAGAGCTCTTTGTGGGCATCCTGTGGAAGTCTGTAGGGCTATGAAAATGCTGGGGATCGTGTCAGTTAAGCACCAAAGGCAACTCTATGAAAATGACAGCTTTTCCAGCCAGTTAGCTCTGTGGTGGACATCCACTGGAGGATCTGCTCCTGTGGCTTCCAGGTCACTACAAGAGTTTTCAAGGCATTTTGTGGTGCTGTGGTCATGTATGTGGCTGACGTACATAACATTTACAATGAAAAATTGTCATGACAGTTTTGCCACCTCTGAAATTTTGATGGAGCATTAATATATGTGGTTGAAACGTAGACACGGAGCTCAGGAAACACAATGGGTCCTGGCTGACCTCAGAGATGATGCAAAGGAAGGCCAGGAACTCACACGAGCCAGGGCTGTAAGAATAAAATAGTGAGGGATCAGCCCCAGGTCAAAAAGTCTGTTGCAGAATATTTTTTTGAACTGATAAAACCATTTTGCCATTTGGTTGAAAACACACAGAAGATACAGATTAATATCTCTGATGGCGATCAGAAGGTGTTGGAGGACTCTGGGGCTAAACCCAGGCCCAATCTTGTCTCTATTCTTGGGTTTCCATTTGAACTGATAAAACCATTTTGCTGTTTGGTTGAAAACATACAGAAGATAGAGATTAATATCTCTGGTGATCAGAAGGTGTTGGAGGACTCTGGAGCTAAACCCGGGCCCAATCTTGTCTCTATTCTTGGGTTTCCTCTTGAAAACCCTTTCCAAATGCCTTGCTCTGCCTTGTCTCTGTGACCCTCTCTAAGATAGGGTTTAAAAAAATGGTTTGAGATCTGCAGATAGAAGAAGCTTTGAGAACAAAATATTTATTACAACGCAGTGATTGTGTTTCAGGGAATTTGATATCAACGTGCCTGTGGATTTTCTGTTGTGTGTTTCGGAGGGTAGGAACGAGCAAAGGCATCACTAATCTTGTCAGCTGAATCCCTGCCTATAATGGAGCTGGTAATTCCCTTCTCCTAAAAATTTAAAATTACTTTCTTAGTAGATATGGCCAAGTTATCTGGGTTTTTATTCCCTTTAGAAGCGACGATGACGAGGAAATAATATATAATTTTGCATTTGAACCAGCAAGAACCGTTAAAGCAAGAACTGTTGAAGGGAAACGTGTCTGAAGGCTGATGATGTGTCAGGTGCACTGAAGGCAACTTTTTATCTTGCTCTGGGTGTGCAGCTTCGGGTTTCTCATTCTCTTCACCCTGCAAATATTTTGGCTGTAGCAATATAAATTTATTTCCTGCGTGTAGCAGAGTAAGAAGTTCTGTGTGCACAGTAAACACGTTTTACGTGCTCAGACTTCAAAAAGCTGAGTGAAGGTCGTTTGTAGCCATGACTGCTCTGCGGCTCCTTCGTCAGGAAAACCTGCGGCAAAAGGGGATAAAACTTGTCAGAAACTAGTTTGGACTTCAATGACAAGTGTATCTCTGTGCTTCATTCCTAATCACAGCGACTTTTCTACTGTTTGCTTGGAAGTAGAGCTACCTAACGCGCTTTTCAGCTGGGGTTAGATCAAGCCTTAGGTTGGCACGCTGGTATCAAATGGATTTGGACAAAACCTGGATCCAAAGTGGTGGGGTTTTTTTGCCTGCCGGGGCTGTGACACTCCCTGATGGCCCCTGGTGGCTTTCAGCCTGCAGGAGGTTTCAAACTCCCCGATGCCCACAGAGATATTTAAGGCAACAGGGTGAGGAGCAGTCGTTTTGAGGTGAGTTGTGGAGCTGTAATATTACATCTGATCCGCTGGAGGATTTCCTGACCTACAGAATGAATTCTGCTGGATTTTATCTCTTGCACTGAGTGTTATTGTTTCGTGTATTTTATGGCCAGAGCATGATATCATGATCCACTTAACTGACCTTTCAATTTATCGTAGGCAGTTGGACTTCTCTCACGATGCCCAAGCTGGGGCTGAACTAGAAAGACTTTTAAAAGATGTCTAGTCATCAAAAATTCATCACAGCCTTTAAAACAACCACTGCAACGACTAATTAACTCTATTACTAAACATTTACACTGTATTTCTGGCCTGAATTCTATTGTGGGATTTTGTTTTGTTTTTCACTGGGGGGCTTCGGACTCCTGTCTCACCAGTTGGCTGCCTCTGTGGGTTCTTCACCCCAGCATTGCTTTCCTGAGCTGATTGTACCATGAACTTTCTTTCTATGAGCCAGGTTTTCCCATTGCTCCCACCCTGATCCCTGAATGGTCTCCAGGATTCTGATGGGTGGATGCTGGCCCTGGTCACAGCAGGCCAATAGCTGTCTTGCTGCTGCCAAATGCAGAAGTGATGTAGTTTTTCCCTTTGTGTTCATCCTTTTGCTCTGTTGGTGTGGGACTCTCATTAGTCCTCTCTGCCACAGCGTCGTGCTGGGAGTCACCTTCTGTGAGCAGTGAAACGGAGCGTTTCCCTCTGCCATTCGTCCTCTGTGCCCGCAAGGCCGGAGCTGTGGACCATCTCCAGTCTATTTTTAGGTCACATAAACACATTAATTTAGAATCATAGAATGGTTAGAGTTGGAAGGGACCTTAAAGATCATCGAGTTCCACCCCCCTGCCCTGGGCAGGGACACCTCCCACCAGACCAGGTTGCTCCAAGCCCCATCCAGCATGGCCTTGAACCCCTCCAGGGATGGGGCAGCCACAGCTTCTCTGGGCAACCTGGGACAGTGTCTCACCACCCTCACAGTCAAGAGTTTCTTCCTAATATCTGATCTGAATCTCCTCTCTCTCACTTTAAAACCGATCCTAATATCTGAATCTCCTCTCTCTCACTTTAAAACCGTTCCCCCTCATTCTGTCACTACATGCCCTTGTAAAAAGTCCCTCCCAGCTTTCTTGTAGGCCCCTTTCAGATACTGGAAGGGGCTTTAAGGTCTCCCTGGAGTCTTTTCTTCTCCAGGCTGTACAACCCCAACTCTCTCAGCTTGTCCTCAGAGCACAGTTGCTCCAGCATCTGATTGTCTTTGTGTGCTCCTCTGGACTGGCTCCAACATGTCCTTCTTATGTTGGGGGCCCCAGAGCTGGATGCAGGACTGCAGGGAGGTCTCACCAGAACAGAGAAGAGAAACTTGCTAATTTCTTGACTTAGCAAAGAATTTGGTGTTCCCTGTGTCCCAGGAGTAATCCTATGGCAATGAGGACCTGCCACGTGGGTCCCCCTTCCCACCACCAGCTCATCTACCAAACGGAACCACAGGGTCTGGCACCAAGCAATGTGTGTCGGGCAAAGATATCGGAAACATTTTGGGGTGAGCAGCCACAGAGCAGGCGGTTGAGTGAGGTCTCGCCTGGTTTGCTTGGAAAAAAAAAATATTAAAAAAAGAAAATGTTGGAAGAATGGAGGAATGGTGTTTTGAGTCGTGCCAACCCCAGCTCCCAGAAGCTGGCAGGGGAGTCGTGGGAAAGCCCCACCAGTGGCTGCTGGAGCGGTGGCCGGGACGCGTAAGGGAGATCACACACTGCTATTGTCAGCCAGGCCTGCAGCCTCACTCAGAAAGTCGATCTTCAGTCAAGTAACTCTTGTCTGAAGTGAATAGGCCCTTGATGAAGCACAGAACAGGCTTTCAGTAAGAGTTTCTTGGCCTGTCCCCCTTAGATGTGAACTTGTTTTGCTTGCTGAAGTAAATATTGCACCCGCCGTGAATACTGGCTCCTACGGCGCACAAAAGGAGCCCTTATTCTGCAGCTTCTCTGCTGGGAAGGGTTTTCGTGTCTCTCTGGACTCTTGCTGGAGCCAAAAGTCACCCAAGTGAAGGCCCACAGCCTGATGGAGATGGTCAGGGCTGGTCAATAAACACGCTCTGTGCCGAGGGGTGGTGGGAAGAGCAGGGCCCAGGAGGACCCGACTCATTTCAGCTGAAGGGAGTGGGGAGAAGTAAGCAGCAGGTTATTTTGATGTGAAGATGCAGTGGCTGGGAGGTAGTCTGTGCCTGCAGGTGGCTTTGGAAGTGGCTTTTTCGCACTGTAAGGGTGGCAGCAGGCAGTCCCTCTTCTCCACGGGTGACACCGTACCCATTAACACAAATGCTTGAAGTGTGTAGCTCGTTATAAGTGTGAGAGATAACGTGAAAAGACAGAGCTTGTTGTATTCCTCTAGGTACCTGTACCTTCAGAGTTACCTTCTCCCTCTGCCACAGAGAGGAGAGGAGTTATCTTCTCCCTCTGCTCTTCTCCTCGCTTGAGTGGGCACGATAGGGACATCAGGGCTGGCTTCCTACCACGGGGTGGGCAGGAGAGAGGACAACTGGTCCTGTTTGTGAGAGAACCTCATGAAGAAAAGGGCTTCTTGAGCCCTTTTCCCTCCTCTTTTGCACACCCATGTTTGATACAAAAGGCTTAAGATGTCCTCAAACCAGGAGAAGGCTTTACCCCTCCAGCTGGAGAAGGACCTCTGTGGTAACGATGACTTAAGGAGCCCATCTACAGAACACCAAAATTGCCAATATTGCAAACATTGGCCCCAAACCTGCACTCAAAGTGGCTCCTGGCTCCCTGCTCTTCTCGGCCACTGTCTGCCCCACTCTATTCAAACAGAGCTCGAGCCCATCGTTAGGAGAACCACAACAAACCACCACCCCCCTGAAAGATCAGGAACTCTATTTTAGTTTATTGACTGCAGTCAAGTTTTATTATGCCTCAAATAATTAAATACTGCAACCTTAAAAATACAGGCCAATTTACCAAAATAATTGTATTCTGAAGATTATGTACATATTATACATTTTACAGTATCATGTAAACTTTTTTTTTTATACATAAGATAAATCTGATTTATGGTAACTAGAAAACCCAAAAATACTCGCTGACAAAAATATTCCTATGAAACATAAGCACTGTGTCTGGGACGATTAGGGAAATCGCAAACATGATAGAATTGAGTTAGAAAAATGAATTAAATTACATTCATATAAAAAGTTAAACTAAAAACACTGCTATGAGTCATTATTTTAAAAAAAGAAAAAAGGGAGAAATCCCAAAGCCTCTCCTTTCATATATTAACACACACTTTGCTGGGGAGCTACCCTGCACCTCATTTCCAGCAATGAGGCGTAGCCTCGGAAATCCAGATTCCCATTTTCCTCCCATTTAACATCCATTAAATAACTGGGTCTGTACCAATACAAACACTGAATATACTCATGCACTGTGATTATGTTGATAGTAGCTGACCAAGGCACAAGGTTTGTGTCGTTTCCCCTCCCTCCCCCCTCCCCACCCCTTAGATTTCGGCATGCGGGGCTAGAGAAGTTTGCTGTTTAAGAAAGAACTTCTGTGGGATTTGTTTATAGTTGGATTTTCACAGCAAGGACACAGAAACCCTTCCAGCATAGACCTAAAAATAAATAAGTAAAAGAAGGTAAAGGCCTTACTTCAACGTTCTTGCACCAATCATGTCAATTCCGTTAAGATGCTTTTTTTTTTTTCTATTAAAAAAATCCCCTCTCTGCAGGAAGCACGTCCCTGAGGCCACGTAGTTCTATTTCTCTGGTCAAATGTTTTATCTATGAACCAGGACAACAAAATTGTTCCTTCTGGAAACGTTGGGCCGTGCGACAGCCGTAGCGTTGGGATTTGGCGCAATGGATCGTCGAGTCTAAATTGGTTTCCAGCTCCCATTTCCTCTCAGCACACCACCCCCGGCGTTATCTGCTGTGTAGTGCATGTAATTGAAGTACCCAGGCATGCTCATTAAAATAAATGCATAATTTAACTGTATATAAACAGCTGCCCAAATTAACGGCTGTTAACCCGGCTGCGTTTGGAAGGCTTGTAAGACTTGCATATTGTATAACTGTTCTGCACCTATAAAAGGCCTGGTCCTGCAAACAGCAAGGCATGTGCTTATCTTCAAGGATTTGAAGAACCTCATGAGATAATAAGAAAGGAAGCTGCCCCTGGGCCTCTGTGAGCGCCGGGGCCAGCCCTTGGTCATAAACGTTGTCTCGAGGAAGACAGTGAGAGGTGGACTAACGGCAACTGGGTTTAGGCACTAGATATCTTCTCTCAGATGCTGAATGTATCTGAAATTAGACCAAAAAGGTCTCTGTCAGGCTTGAACAAGGTGAAAGTGTGTTTCCAAAATGGCCTTTATAAAACATGCACCGAATTACGAAAAATTAATCCTGTTGTGATGTCTGTTTATGTACAGCTTTAATAGAAAAGAAATCCTAATCTAGAGTATCAAAATACCGTATTCATATAAACATAGGAGAGCATCTAATAGAAAAGTAAAAAGTGTAAAAGAAAATATTTTTGGAAATGAAATATCCTGTAAGAGTTGTTGGGTTTGTTGTGGGCATTTTGTGTCTGTTTTTTTTTTTTTTAAAAAAAAAGACCCAACAGGAATTTGTGTGCTGCAAAAAAAAAATAATGAGGAGAGCTACATCTCCCCTCGTCTACGAGTTTTTGCTGCAACAGCTCTGCCTTCCTCCTCCTCCTCCTCTTCCTCCTCATAATTCTCTTCATGACCTTCCTTCTGGTTGGTCTCTTCTTGCATCTCTTGCTCTTGCTCTGCCCCGCCGTTATTCTTGTCATCTGCCTGATTGGGGGGGAAAAAACAGAAAGAATTAAAAAATAATAATCAGATTGAGTGCAACTGCCAGTTTCCTACTAGTTTATTCTGGGGCACTGAGATGGAGTTAAGGACCAGGAAGAGGGAATTGTTGGAGCTGATGGACAGAAACAGGAAAAGATTTCCAAAGGCCTTCACGGCAGCGGGAATGGACGTGAGGGTGGAAGGATGAGTTGGGACATGAAATTTTAAGGTCTATGATCTAAAGCAAGTAGAAGAGTGATGTCAGGTCAGTGTGAGGTGGTCACAGCTGTGATAAGTGTTTCCTCCTGTCACCGTGTCCGTGGGTTTCCAAAGTACTTACGTTCTCATCATTTTCCCCATATGGCTCCTCAGCGTTGCGCTCCAGTTCCCGTTTCTTCTCTTCAGTCATATCTTCCTGGATCTACAAAGCACAGAGAGGTTCTGGGTGTTTTCATTTCCTTTAAAAAAGTAGCCTGTGGCATAAACGTACACACTTTCACAGCTACACTTTCACAGAATGAAGATTCAAAGAAAGGGAGGAGAGTGCATAGAGAGGTTAAAGGAGGGAAAAAAAAACCCAACCACCCAATAATCAGGAAACTCACTTCCTCTGAGACTATAACTTTTAAATACAATTTTCACAGACCCTGTCATCATCAGCTAACTCAATTAGATTCCCATTCCACGTTTTAACTTTACACATATAGTATTTTCTCCTTGTCCTTCATGGCAAGAGCATCACAACAGCACAAAGAGTCACGACCAACACTCCCACCCCGCTCTGGACTCCCAGAACTATTTCATTTCTGATACACCATGAAGATATCTATGTCTGTGTTTTCCCAGCAGCTGAGCCATCCTTCTGCCAACTGCTCCTGGAAAACCACAAAAGAGCAAGGGGGGATCGGGAGCAAAGAATAATCTCTTCCAACTCCGTCCTTGAAGGGAGAACAGAACACACTGAGTCTTTTCCAGATCTTGATCTACCACTTCTGCCCTTTGTGGCAGCACTTTCCCTCATTTCCACGTCCCTTTATGGTTAGATGCAAATTTGAAAGAGGCAATTTTTTTTAACTTAACTTGATTTTCTTTTGGAGAATGCTATTATGTACATGGTGTAAGGTGCTTCCAGGAGGCCATTCAGCTCCCCCCATGGAAAAAAAATAAGCTGTTTCAGCCACCTGGGAAGCGTTGGCCACTCACTGCTGCCACCTACCCCTAAGATGCTGCTTTCTGCAGGGCTCCTGTGGAAAATCAGCAGGAGGAGAGAATATTTAGCAGATGCTTCCATCAGGAGGCAAAGCTGCTTGTGAACAAGTTGCTTGGGGTTCGGTGCTGCTGCCAGCGGAAGGGCAGCCATCAAACCTGGATCCCTTTCAGGGATAGATGGGAAAGGTCTGAACAACAGCAATGAATTATTGAGTCAACCTACTAAAGAAACTGTTCCCGACTACAGCATCTTAACTCGTTCTCGATGGCTCATTCAATCACTGCTCACTCTTTAATACTTCCAGTAAGCACTGGTCATAGGCCTTTATGACACATGTATTAAATTACTTCTCGTAAGCCGAAAAGTAATTGCCAAAGGCCAACTATTCCCAGTTCCCGATGACCTGGTTTGATTTAAGTAACCACATTCTGGACCGGTGAATTCTAAGTGTGTACCAGCTAATCTAGACAAAGTGGTCCCCACGAGAGACTAATGAGTAGCTGTTTCTATTGCTTTTTGTAAATCATTATGTATGAAGTACAAAATAGCGATTGATTAGGTACGGACTGAAGAGCTGGGGGGCAGCTCATGGGAGCACAGGCATAATAAGTGTGTGGCATTCAGCATCCCGAGGAAAACCTCCCCTCCCTCCTTTTCTCCTCCAGCTCAAAGCCCTGTGCTAACAGCTTCCTGCCTGTTTGGCTCCACGAATAGCAGGGCTTTACAGAACTTGGATTGATTAGGAGGAGCACAGATAAATCAAAGTCAGAGCTAAGGAGTAAGTGGCCGAGAAAGCAGTTTGCCCAAAACAGCAGCGTGTGATTAGAGATGCAAAGTTAATGAGGTTTTCCGTGACCTTGGGAGGGATTGACATTTTCTGGAATTTTTCCTTCTGTTGTGAATGGCTTAATCTTTTCAATTATTGCACAATTAATACCGTGCTGCGGCGTAGAGTAATGGATTACAGCACATAAGCTTGAGGAACACTCGATAAGTCTAGAAGTGGGCAGCAGAGTAATGGCAAAGACTTTCTTGTTTCATAAAGTCAAAGTGATTTGCGTTCATTTTGCAGTTATAAAAGACACCACCGTTGATGGTTAATGGATGTGCATTATGCTGCCTGACTCCACTTATCCCTTCTGTCTGTTTTCTTACCTCTTCTTCTCCCTCTTCCTGGTATTGCTCATCCACATTATCTTCCTGCTGGTCTGGATTTCCTGCCATCTGCAGAAAGATCATATCAAAATTCAGTTGTACATGCGTGCCTATTAACTTTAGAAGACTGAAGGTTAAAGCTTCTTGTTCTGGAACTAAAACTTTCTGTAAAGCTAAAGTAACAATAATAGTGTAAGAACTTTCAGTGTGTTCATTAGCATTAACGGTAGCCTGGCTACATGATTTAAAACTGCCCTAAATTAAAAAAAAAGGCAGTGGATTATAATAGAAATCACAGAATAAAGCAAGATTTTCCATACTAAGCAGGAAGACAATGAAATATTCCCACCATAAAAGACCAATGCCATAAAAATAGAGATTATCTCTGCCCAGAGGAGTTTCCAGGTTAGAGATGGTTGAAATGCGCAGCATTGGGTGGAATGGCCACAGAAGGAAAGTGACACCACTGCTTCCAGCTGATCCAGTGCTGACTGCACTGAAGTGGCACAGAAGGGACTTGTGCAAAGACACGAGGGTTGTATGAAGGGGTGTTCCTGCAGGGGCTTGGGGGAAGGTAAATACAGGGGCCCTGAGGCTACAGAACCTCGCTGAGCGGAGCCAGTGATGGAAAAACCAGTGTATCACCAGGAGTAATTCCACACTTTCACCTGCCCGTGTCAAATATGGCTTAAGAGAGATCTTTACAAATCCAAGTTCAGTTTTCCCTGGCCAAGCTACACTACACTGTCCTGAAAGGGGCCCCACAGACACTTCCTTCCCCTTTACTGACCACTAGGTGCTCTCCCATTCCCGGACGTCCTTGTTTGGGACTGGTTTGCTTGTGCTTTTCATTTTCATCTGGTAGATTTTCTTCTCTCTCTTGCTCGGCTTCCTCAAACTCATCCTCTCCCTGGTTGTTGGGGTCATCAGCAGGATTCACGTCTTCCATGGCTGCTTTCTGTAATTTTCAGAAGCGAATGCGAATGTTAAATACGTATTTTTATCTCACTGTCACGCTCCATTTCACTTGAAAGCTACCCCAGCATGAGCGACATTAGAGCCAACTCCATTCCCACTGAAACCAGCTGGAATCTTTCTCCACTGGGTCCAACCCCAACCAGCAGAGAAGCGTCAGCTCCTGAAAGAAAAAGTCCTTCAGCACCGAGCGCAGACAGAACCACAGTATTGGCCTCTGTCTGCTAAAAACCCGATGGAAGCTGATGGCTTATTTCACACAGGCTGCTGAATTCCTTTTGTTTACCCACTATTTGATAACTGACAGTGCCTGATAAGGCCAGGTGAAAAAAAGATAAGAGTTTAAATGCTCATGGCTCAAAAGAGCTGACGTGATCTTGCAAGTGCCGCTTTGTCCTGCAACATTGACCTTGTCTACATTTCCAATAAAACAACACCCACTTCTTGTAATACTTTGCCATTGACAAACCAAGCACCTCGCTCGGTAAAAGCATTTCTGGTGTCTCTATAGCTGACAAGTTAAAGATCCTTTAGAAATACTTACTATCCAACTTAATTTGCTGAGGGGAAGGGGAGTAAAGAAGATACGCTCGATGTTCTACACCACCAAGATGGAACTTGGTGGGAGGCACAGGACTGAATCTCCTGCACCCAGATCTCTGTGCACCCAGCTGTGGTCAGTGCTCAAGTACCTTCTCTTTCAGGATCTCACACTACTTCTGTACTGACTCCAGCTGGTCTCAGTGGCTACTGAGATGGCTCTTACCCTCTAAACCAACAACAGTATGAGAAACACCATCACCACTCTTTTCAACTGACCACCACTGAGTTACTCCTGTTATTTTTTGGAATCCAAGTTTACCTATTCCAGTCCCAGCTGAGTCCAAATCCTTTATTCCACCCAAAACACAGATCAAAGGAATGCAGAAAAGCAACTTGCTACCAACAAAGAACCTTCCTTTTGATTTCTTCCCAAATCAGTAAGGACAACTTTAAAGAGATCTTAGATGTAGTTTTAAACTGTCAAACCTATCTTCTTAGAAGACCTCTGGTTCACCTTATTTCTGCAATAATGAGACTTATGGGTTTTCACTTCAGTAGCGATCGCAATCCACAGCATCTTAATTCATACTCACTGAGTCACCATCACGCTGATTTTCTACTTTGTGTTCTGGTTCTTGCTGTTCATTGGCATTATTTTGATCATCATCTTCACCTTCATCCTGGTGCTGGTTGTCACGTTCATAAGCTGACAAATTTGTGATATTATTATTGTATTATAGCAGTTCCCAGTTAATGAAGTCTCCTATATACTAGCTCCCATACGTGCTTTGAGCAGTAGGGAGCCTTTACCTAAAGATATAATGCTAACACAATTGTTTTAGTGATAGTAGGAAACCGACAGTGAAAGATTATACAATTTGAAGAGATCAAACAAAATCATAGGCAGAGCCAGGAATGTACCCAAGATCCACAAAGCCCTATTCCTTTCAGGAATGTGGACGTGATCTTTAGTAATCCCTGTATTTCACCCCGTCAGTTCAGCCAGTGTTATTTGAGCTTCTGGTTTTAAATTGCAAGTTCATATTTCATTGGAATCCAAACTGGATATGAACTGAATATTAAAATCTCTCATGAAAGGCAGTGCACAGGGAACCTGAGAACATGGTAGGGACAGATATTTTACCTTACCTCCTTCCTCCTCCTGAACGCCTTGCTCTTCTTCTCCTTGTACAATATCGTGGTCCATGTTATCGTAATGAGCCTGTTGGCTGAGAAAATTAAATGCAAATACATCATTTTAGTTTCAAAAAATTTTGAACTAAGCAGAAGTATAAGGAAATACAATAGGGAGGGTGAAAGGCATGTAGAAGCCACAATGTCATGAATATAACTGCATTCACAGTAACTTTATGACACTAAACGGGTTTGTTGGTTTCTCCTGAAATCCTACTTTTGTCTCTACAACACCAATAATACTACAGTGACCCTTGTCCAGAAAAGCCCTCAGGGAATTAACTCGAAAACAGCATCTCATATTTAAGAGAAACTTTAGGTATCTTAATGTGTATCTGATACTGGAGCTCCTCAGTACTACAAGATCATAATTGCTGCTTAGCAGAAGATAATTACTAATTTGAAGCAAGCTTTAAGACAAAGGGCATTGTACGCCAGAAGCCCCCAACGTCCCCAAAGCATGTGTGTGTGGCAATGCGTGGCACTCATTACTCCAGATTTTAGAGGCTTCCACAGTAAAAGGAAAATAAAAGAAGGAAACAAGCATCTGTGTGGCAATGCGTGGAACTCATTACTCCAGATTTTAGAGGTTTCCACAGTAAAAGGAAAATAAAAGAAGGAAAAAACCCTTAAAATAGCAAGATTTATCTTTGGAAAGGAGAAGATGAGGGTCACTGAATTTAGTTTCTGGGCAGTCTCGGTTTATAGCACTCAACCAGCCTCTTTTCCAAGGTGGTACAGTAGAAATCATAAAAGCCAGACACAGACCGTGACAAACTCATGTAAAAGAATTTAACCTTAGCTGGTTTTTATAGAGTTTTTCTCCTTGTTCTGCCTGTTTCTGCAGCTGAAGCTCTGTTTCTTCAAGCTGTTGTTGCCGTAAGAGCTGTCCCCGCAGCCTCTCCTGGTGCAGGGATTCCTGATGCTCTCGGAGCCGATTGGCTTCCTCTGCTCTTTGGGCTGCAAGATGTTGCTGCTCTAGTTGTTGTTCATAAGCTTCCTTATGTCTTTTTGTTGCAGCTTTTGTTGACGTTGTCTGTCAAAGAAAGGTGTTAATCACAGATCAATCATAATTTCAAAGACCAGAAGCGAGCAGGCACAAACCTGTCACAAGAGGGAAAGATCTCCAGGTGCTACACGCAACAGGCAAAATTACAGCAAAATTATGTTAAGTTTTCTTGGCTCTGCTTAAAGTTTAATTACTTTTTTTTTGAACGCAGACTGGAAGCCTCGGGGTGTTTGTGGAGGGCATGGGGAAGGAAGAAGAGATAATAGGCTGGGGGACACCATGATTTTCTTACACATCAATTGCGCCAGGGGAGGTTCAGGCTGGATATTAGGAAAAATTTTTTCACTGAAAGGGTTCTCAGCCATTGGAATGGGCTGCCCAGGGAGGTGGTTGAGGCACCATCCCTGGAGGTGTTCAAAAGACAGGCTGATGAAGTGCTGGGAGGTATGGTTTAGTGATGATGCTCCTTGTTTGTTGTGTGAGTGTCTATTTTTGTCAAAGTTAGGTTGACGGTTGGACAAGATGATCTTTAAGGTCCCTTCCAACCTAGAAGATTCTGTGATTCTGTGAATAATAACCCCACCCTCCCCAACATATTACCAGTGAAAGGAAGTTTTGACCGCTGACAATTAAGCAAATATGTGTCCATTGATTTAACTGGTAATTTCAGTAGGGCTGCTTTAAGCCTTAAGGGAGACGCTGCGCGTTTTTTAAAGCCAGTAACTCCAGTTTCCCAGCTTAACCTACTGCTGCTGTTCTAATCCGCTGCACCTCTTCAACAGCAGCTTCTCATCACACTGGAGTTATCGAATTAATCTGCTGGGAAAGGAAGTGCTTACAAAGCCTAAGGTGAGATCAGTAAAATGTATTTTCCACTGGAGATCCGATCGAGAAGGTGAATGGTTTTATTTAGAGCTGCACAGAGCAAGGCTTGCCATCGCTGCGCGCTGATTTCCCCTGGCTATTTTAGGCACGTTCATCTTGCAGTTAAAATTTCCTGTCAAGTGACAGCGAACATTTAGATGGAAATGTGTTTACAGAAGGCAGGTATTCCTGACAAGGAAACACGCTGCAATTTGCTGAGATGCATCAAATTAGTGACACAGCATCAAAGTGCTCAAGACAACTCTCATTCTGCCTTCTTCCCATCAGCTACCTCGGGCCTTAAATTTTAAGCAGGAGATGGGATTCATCCCCACTGCTCTTTTTTTTTTTCCATCTGTTGCTTTTTGTCAGCAGAATTAATGCTCATTAAGGTGCATCTGGCAAGCATTCAGTACGTGTGAGCCTGAATCCTATGCATCCAAGTGCTCTAAATCCCAAACTTTCTATCAATATGATGCTGATATTACCTAGAAATAGGTGAGTGCAGTACAGGGCCAGCAATGGTAAGAGATACCTCTGTTTAAACAGCCAATCTAATCAATTAGTAGAAAACAAAAAGAGCTCCATACCTCTGGATGAAGATGATCGCCCAACATGTTGGTTTCTTCTTCCTTCTGTTCCTGCTTTTTCCACTCATGCTCTTCTGGTGCTTGATCCTGTTCCTCCTCTAAGCGCTCAGGCTGACCTGCCTGCTCCATTTCTTCCTCTTCGAGTTCTTTTTTGCGTTCCTCTTCAACCTGATTAACACGTTGCTCGTCATCCTCTCCAGCTTCTTGTTGCTCCTGAATATTGAGTTCTTTGGCATGCTGGCCCTCACTAGTCCTTCCCTGCGGATGGAAAGGCTCAGCTCCGTCTTCTTTTTCCTGGCTATTTATTTCTTCTCTCTCTTTTGGCTTCTCATCCTGCAAACCAAACACAAGATTATGTGTGCGCAAGATATTCTGGATTTCATATTTTCAAGAGTCAAGGACCAGATATGGATGCCTTTATTCCATAAAGGAGTGAAGCTGTAGTCAGGGGAGCTAAATTCCTGCTTTGGAACAAGCTGCCCCTCCTGCCAGATGGTGCCACCACCCGACCCTTGGCTCTGCAGAGCTGCACAAGGTGTCGTGCGACTGCACCATGAAGTAGGTTAAGCCTTGGTTTATCTCAAGTGGAACAAAACCATTGCAATTCTGTATCAACAAAGGAAGCTTGGCATTTGTATTTCCTCTGGGTTCTGCTGGCCAAGAACTCTTGTAACAAAAAAACTACAACTAATGTTGTCACTTCTAGACTTTGCCCACAACTTTGCTTTTGTTTCTTTCTGAACATTGGATAGCGTGCCCATTTGAACTATGCTGACTTAAGTATGTCACCGATAACTTATAAAGACAATTTCTTCAGAACTTACTAAAGCTTTTCTGTAGCACGAGATACCTAAAATTTTAAAGATCACTTATTATTAAAAAAATGAAGATTTTTAGCAGCTTCTTAAAAGGGCTTACATAAACCAGTTGTAAGTGCATTTACAGTCATGTGAGAAAAGATCATCATGACCGTATTTTTCTCCTACTCCACAAGATTAAACTGTTCCTCACCACTTTACTCAAGAACTGACAAACACGTACAATTACACATATGCTTCTGATGGAAGTTAAGCCCAAAGCTAGGATTTGGCTGGGTAGGAACCATTTCCAAGAGTGTCTGTAGCCAGTCAGTGCTTTATACCTCCTTGTGCTCTTCAGCTTCATTGCGTGTCAGCAGGTCGCTGTGGGGAGACTGTGCCTCTGGTTGCTCCTTTGGGTCTTCTGACTTCTCAGCCTGTCGGAAACTTGGCATTTTGTTGAGTGTGTCCTTCAACTGCTTGTACTCCTCCACCTGGGACTAAAGGCAACACATTAATTATAGCGCGTCCAAATCAATTTCTTAATAAAACGTAGTCACCTCAGAGTGAACTTGCTGGCAAGACACAGGGTGGAAAGACTCAATATTCACATCAGAGCAAATACCAGGGAGGAGAAAGGACGGGAGGTTTTAAAATCGGTTGTTTCCACGCACTAGATAGCATTGATTCATCACAATCTTTTCAGCCAGAGTGCACATGCATACAAAGTCTCTGCAGGACAAAGATGGAGATTTGATTTATTCATGCCAAGCAGGAGAATTGTCAAAGGGGGATGATGCTGTTTTCTTGGCAGACTAAAGCGAGGGAAATGGGGAGCACCACAGCTTCTCCTTTACTGGTAGAAAGAAGTGCAGTTCTTCCAGAAACGGTAGCTTGGAAGTATTTACATGTCATGAAAATGCCAAATTCTCAACATTTAGACAGGCATTACACGAGACAACAGCCAACACAGAGAACTGAGGGAAAGAAAGTCATAGAACACCTTTGGTGAAGAGGAAGGGGAAAAAAAAGAAGGAAGAAAGTAAAAAAAAAAAAAGAGAGGAAAAATGTAAATTTCTAAAGTCTTCCTGAAATGCAACTGTAAAGTGTTGTAATTTGATTTGCTGTTAAACTCTGTACAAAATAGGATACTTTCAAAAAGCTCTGCAGTCCAGTATGAGACTCCAGACCGGGTGGTAGCCCAGTCCCTGCCGATACAGCAGACGTGCAAGAAAGATTATCTCACAAAGTAACATTTTTGAGATGGCCAGGGTTTATAAAAGCTGACCAGCTGCATTTAGAAAAGGTGGTGCCACCACGAGAGGGTCTCTCTGCTGCTCAGAGGAGGCGGTGGGTGTGTTTACTGCCCATTCTGAAGTCAGAGGTGCATTTCACAATCTGTTTCAAAATTCAGGTTAAAAACCTGGCTACAGTTTACACTGGGTGACCGTGTATGTCGTTTGTTGTGTTACGTGGTATCATAGCAATCAATAGTACAGCAGACAGGCACGATGCATCGATGTACAATGCATAATACTCAAACAAAACAGCATCCACAGTGCTACGGATTGACATGATGCAACACATAACGGCTCCGCAGCCAGACGCACCTCGAAGCATCTTCAAAAGACTAGGGGTGTCCGTTAAAACACACGGGCCTAAAAGCAAAGCAGAATGCACAGTAATTACTTTTGTCATTCCAGGGGGGTAATTCTGGTTTTCCTGATTAACCTTTGGGGAGTCCGATGCGAAATTTTAGAGGAAAAAAAATAGTATTTACTTAACAGGTGCCTGATTAGTTTTTTTCCCCACTCACGGACCACGTGGAGATTAATATACTGAGATATTTAAACAGCGCACGTCCGAGCAGAATTCAAGTTCTCCGTTCCACTGCACGAGTCATTCTAAGCTGAACATTGTGATTCAAGGCCATAGCCCGAGAGGTATTAATACTGGCAGAAAGACAGGGTTTATAAAAATATATAATGAATCTGTCTGGCTGTTTGAGCTATGGAAAAGTACAAAGATTACAGTGCCTTAAAGATTCAGGTCACAAATTCATTAGCGCAGTATTGACTACTGATATTTAATGTCTAGAATACACTTAGAAATGGAAGGGTCACTTATCAAGCTGTGTTTCTAAGCAATAATCCCTTGTGAACTTTCTGCAGCTGGTTTGCAGGAGAAACTATGGGGCTGTGCTAAATATCTTCTGTTCTGAAAGAACGTGCAGGAGCCTTTTCTTGAAGGAAAGGTTCTCCCTATGATAAATGCCATGTTCTGATTGCAGATAGAAAGGCTTTGTGCAACACAGGTTTTCTGGTTAAAGAATCAAAGCCAGGTGAAATACATGGAGCTTCTTCCCTTTGGATTTGGTGAACTTTAAATCAGATCCTGGATTTGCCTTTGTGGAATCTCGGATGGCAGCAGATACATATCAAGCAGCTAATGTGGCCGGTGGGAAAAAGAGCTTAAAATTAGCTGCCAGCATATTTTAGTACTGGAAATTATGATTCTTCATATATTTAGTCTATGAGGGACTTTCCTGCTCTTTCCTTAGTTTTTGAATATCTAAACATATTGAACTGGGGGAAAAAAAAATAATCCAATGCTTTTAGTGTTGCTAATGATTTTGTGGACCATGAAAATACTTAAATGAAGAAAATTAGTCAGGAATAAAAATAAACTTCCCCCTGCCTCACTGCCTTTCCCTCTGATCTTTCACCAATAGTCTTCCTCTGCTCCAACATCACTCCTCCTCTCAGATTCCCTGTGGCCTCCACAGCTTGTACTGGCACAGCTGACTGAACCTGCAATAGTCTAGCAAAGGTTGCGCTTCATGGATAATTTACCTGAAAATGACATTTAAGAAAGAAAGGAGATGCTGCTGCTGCTGCTTTTTAAGTAATTTGAGTTCCACCTGGAGTTTACATTCCTGTGTATATACTCTCCCTCTGTTGCACTGATGCATATTGCCTTGTAAACCTTCTGGCCATACACAACACACTTTACAAAGTCTTTATAACGACACACGTGTGTCAGTGGGGGATGCTAAACTATCAGAAGTTCTTATCAGAGAAGACAGAGAAAGAAAGGTATTCGACAGCTCTCATGGAAGCAGAGATACTCTTCTTATCAGTAATACATGCACTCTTGGGCCTCAAATATGGCTTTTTATTTTCCGACAGCCCTAGAATTTGTTGCAGCTTCTTCTTAAGAGCAACCCTTTAACTCATGCACTCCCCTGCAGCGTGAGCACGGCGCTAACTGCGGATTCCCCATGCGAGAGGCCACATGCAGAAGGTTACAGTCAGCTGAATCAGGAGAAACACGTTTTAGGGAGGTTAGAGCTAAGTAGAAGCTGCTTTCCTTTCTGACCTGTGCAGCAGCTAGTGCACTCTTGTGGTCTTCCAGTGTCACCACAAGCTGGTTGTGTTGGGAGAGTAAATTCTTATGCTGTTGCTACACAAAAAGAAGAACATTACACGTTTCACATAAAGTTCATCCTAAAGGTAAATTAGGTAGCCTGGGGGGGAATTTTGAAGTAGGAAGATAATTCAATTTATTTCGAAAAGAAAATCCTGAGCTGGAATGACAGCATTTATTTATTTAACATGGAACGCGTATTAAACACACAGAAAAAGAGAGCATGCCAGGAAAGAAACTTTTGGAGGCCAGAATTTGTGTAACTAAAGTAAAGTTAAAAGTTGGAGTAGATGTTGATGAACGTTAAAAAAAAAAATAGAGCCAGAAAACATTCATTTCAGCAAACATAGTTCGCCAAAATACAACTCTTAAACTTGCAAAGTCAAATTTCCAATTCCAATTTCAATACTAAATACTTCTCTTCCAATTCTTCTGGGTTTTGTTTTTTTTTTTTTTCAAATGAGCACATACCTAAACTGCAGGTGGCAAAAGACAAGAAATCCAGTTCGGCTGTATTCCTCTCCTTTTTGCCACAAAACAAAAAGCACAAGTCTTCAACACAGCCCAGTTCTGGCTTGTTAAAACTGGGAAGAATTTTGCTTTTTCCTAATGGTGGTGGAAGTTCTCCTCTAAGCAAAGCCTACCTTGACATCTTGTAACTGGGTGTGAACGTCTTGGTGAGCTTTTCTCAACTGCCTGTTCTCCTCCCGTAAGTTATACAGGGATTCTGTTTAAAAGAAATGACATACAGAATTTAAACCCAGTCAGATTTATAATACTTGATTAGGCACCAGAATTAAGACTATAACAACAAACTAATAACATCCTACACAATTGCTATAGTAAAAATGGATTACTGTAGTTCTATGGCTTCTTTATGTTACATCTCTCCCCAGCCCTATAAAAAGCTTTACATTTTCAAGCAGAAAAACGTAAAATTTCACTAAATTTTACATTAGAGCACGCAGTCTGCAACTGGAATTATGCATCACTGTTCCTGGTGGGGACTGCAGACAGCAAAATTCATTATGATAATCTCAATCTTTAAAACACAGAGAGAAAGGCACCCTCTTCTCTTCCTCCACGGTGCATCTGGCGAGTGAGAATTTTATGTCACAGGACTAAGCCATTCTTTGGGCAGAGCTGCCCAGATGGCCAGCATACTTAAAAAGCTTGACGTTCTGGGACCAGGGAGAGGGGCTTCTTTTCCCTACTCCTTCCATTCTGTTGATGTGGAATATTGCAAGCAGACAGAGGCAAGCTCTCCCCACACTCCAGGCTGCAATCCAGCCCCGTCCAAGAGCTCAGCTGTGTGACTCTGCTGGTGTAGTGCCAAGGCAGAGCTCATCAACAGCCTCTGCCTGCAAAGCACAAACACCACAGACAACACTGCAGACAGCTCCAAAACCAACTCATGTGTGTTCGGGACACGCGGCAGAAACCGGCTGAAGGCTCTTGGCGCCGAGAGCCCCCTCCTTTTGTTCTATGCAATTGTGTAATTAGGATTGACGAGGTCTGCAGACTGCAAAGAATCTGTTTAAAAGGGAATTGGATGCCAAATAAAAAACCAAATGCTTCATCTTCCAAGTATACAGGTGCAACAGTGGCTCAGAGAAGCCGAGAGATATGAGAAAACTAGGTCTAAAGTGTATGTAAAGTCACTTCATAGAAGCACAATTACAGATCTGACAGATGTGGTAAACATTCTTAGATTACCCTTTTCTGTAAATGAAAGGCAAAGTGGCAAATCTGTTTTTCCAGGTTTATAAAAGTCTTAGAACTGAAAATGAAAGACTGGATAAGCCATCCTCTGACACTTGATGTGCTTTTAAGTGCTGTGTTTCTTGCTCTTTCTCTAATCTAGATAGAGAAAGGAAGCACACACAGGAATTCAGAAAGAGGTCAGAGAAAATAAAGAAAATATAACTTATCAGGAGGGATAAGATGGATGAATGACTCGTTAGTGAGAACAGGGAGGATGCCTTTCTGTCCCGCATCACTCAAAACACAACGACAAATACACACTTTCATGCAGACAGGCAGACACAGTTGCATATACCCTTCAGCTTAGAGATCTCCTGCTCCTTTTCCTGCTGCAGTTGTACGTATCGCTCCTTGTGATCGCTGAATGTCCTGCTGAACTCTTCTCCTTGTTTGCGGTGATCTTCCTCCAGCTCAGCATGCTGTTTCTTCAGTTCTTCATGTTGACTCTGCAAATACCAAGTTGGACACTGGAACGGTTGCGTATCTGCATATCTGGCTAATATTGTCTTTGGCAATTTGTTAAACGACTCTAGATGAATAGGAAGCATTCAGAACAAGAAGTTTATTATTCAAAGCATGCATATTGCAGCTCCTCTCCAACACAAAATGATCTCTGTGATTAGTCTCCTGTTCTAGGGCGACGTCACCTCACCCTCCAGTTGTGCTGTCCCACTGGGAGCTGCTGAATGTGTTTAAGAAATTCCTTACGTGCCAAACTACGTAAAGTCTGATAAAGTCAGCGTTCCACACAAGTAATTGCATTTTATAAGACTGAATTACCCGCTGGAAAGCCTGACTAGGAAAAACTGCACTAAATCATCTTTTAATGGTACTGCTGTAAGAGGAAGGCACCCTCCATGTACTGACATTCCAGGGCTGTATCTCCCTGCCACAGCAGAATACCAGTGTCCTGTGAAACTGGGTATCCCAGTTACCCACCTTCAACATCTGGTGTTGTACGCTCAGCGCGCTGTATCGGCTGTTTGAGTCTTGCTGTAAAAAAAAAAAAGAAAACACTGGTGTTAAATGGAGCAATGCTGTCATTCCCCCAACCTCTGTACACGCAGTTATTTAGGAGCCACAAGCCAAGGGACCTAACTCCCCAGGAAACAAATTAATCTCTCCACTGGCTTTGAACCACAGCAAGCACATACACTGTACACTTACTGCAGCAACAATGTATTTTAACTCCGCTCGCAAACTGCTCCCCAGTTTCAACATGAAGTAGACATAAAATCCTAATTTACTTGCTTTATAACGAGTTCTCTACAGGTCTCTGGGTCCTCTGCCAAATACAGCTTTCCTTCTGGCACTCGGTATATAGAACAAAGTTTCTTGATGGTTTTATACTTTCCAGTTCAAAGACCATGTGTTAGAAAGTTGTCACTGTCCTTCTCCCCGTGGACTAAGCTACTAGAAGATTTCTAATGCCTTCTCATTCCCCCTTCCCCTTAAAAATAGTAACATTATGTTTGAACTACCATAATATAAATAGGAGGATGTTTTCTAAATTAATTTTCTGGAAAGATATTAGTATCTCCTATTATAGCTCAAATAATTAGGAGTTGCAGAGCACTTAGGCATGCAGAGCAGAAATGTGCTAAGTGAGAGCTCTTTCAATTAGTATTTTGTAAGACCTCTTCCTTTGAACAGTTATAATTGCAAAGCATTTCCTTCTTCTTGCACCTCAAATAGCATCACGTATTAAAATCTTGTACCAGGAACGATGACTTACCCTTCCTTTATTTAGTGTTTCCTGTGCTTCTAGTTTATAAACAAGAAAATCTACAACACAAAAAAGAAAATACTGGTGAAAAAACCCAGGAAAATTAGAATCTGTACTTAAATAACATAACTGTTGCATATATAAATTCTCTTACAAGCTGAATGCTTATGCAGTTATGATTTTTTTGGAAAAAGACATTTATAAATCATGTTTTCTTGTACTTGGATTAAAAAAAAATGTAATTTAAGCAGTGTGAAGTCTAGGCTAAATTTAATAAAACAAAAATTTCTCCTTTTGTTCCCTGATCATCTTTTTTGGATTTAAAAAAAATGTAATTTAAGCAATGTGAAGTCTAGGCTAAATTTAATAAAACGAAATTTCTCCTTTTGTTCCCTGATCATCTTTTCCAGGATTTGAAAATGCCCACTCACCTTTGCCAGAGCAATGGGACAGCTCTACACTAGATGGCACCAGAAAGCCACCCAGAATTGCACGGTAAGAGTAATTTCTTACACGTTCTTAAGCTTTGCTGAAGAAGTTATTTTAATTCAGCAGCTGAGTCCTCAGTTTTAGGAAGAAAACAGGCTTTACTCTCAAATTTGTAGTGAATTTAGAACAAAAGACTCACAGAAAACTCAGAGGACTGCATTCGGCGGAAGGTTCGTAGAGGGCAGCCGCTTAAGAAATACATGTGCCAACATTTCCCCCTCACACACACACACAGAATTTAAGTTTTAATCAGAAAATGGTATGTAAGTATGTGTTTACCCTTAAGCATATGTAAAAACACTGATTCAGAGTCTAATTTCACATTGATGGAATGCAGGAAAAGATCTCATGGTTTTGGCAGAAGTTTTAAGTTTTCAGAAGGCTGGAACAGGGTTTACACGTGCCCATACTCCACGTACGTGTTTGGTTTATGTACATGGATATACACGTATTATCTGTGTGTACTATGCCATGCTGCTGTCATCTGTAAATAGTACTAAACAGATGATTACTTTTTAAAAAGATTAAATAAATAAATAAGAGATACTAAAAAGACCACCACAGATCTGCCAAAGTGGTCCTGCTAATGCGTTACACATTTTTTAACTCATTTAAAATTGAACAAAATACATCTGAAGTTACTTTCTAAAATAATCAAGTTATATCAAATGTCAAAATGAAAAGCACAGTTTTACCTTCTTTAGCTTTCTTATGTTCAAGCCTTTCCTTTTGTAATGACTTCTCTAATCTTGACCTGTGCTCATACACAACTGAAAAGAGAAATTTTATACACAATTAATTTAGAAAGTAATATATACAAAAGCCACCACCCACCCTCAGCACACCCAGAGAGCACTGGCACAGAATCTATCAGGAAAAAACAAGTGGAATGAGGTCAGAGGATAAAGGACTGTTTGTATCATTTGGACAGTAACATTTTTTTTTCTTTTTTGCATGTTTTATTGCTCCTGGGTTATTTCCATAGCACAGACACCGTGCTATGGGACAGCTGTTTGAGTGATTTGGTTATGGAGACAAAATTTACTCCACAAAAGTTACTAAATCCTCTTTCCTCCTTAGGTGTGCAGGTGCCCATTTCCCCCTGCTTTTGTCCTCTCCTACCTTGTTTGTAAAGAGATAAGGAAATAAGAGAGGACAACCTCACTGCCAGGGTAAATCCTTGCAGCAAACACATTGTTAGAAGGAAGGAAGAGAGATGCACAAGAGCAGGAGAGCTTAGAAAGGTGCGGCAGAACAACAGACAGGTTGCTTAAGCTAAGACGTGGAGGACCTGAGCCCTAAATTCTTTCAAAAACTTGGACAACTCGGTTTTCTGCGACCTTCTTTTGGTAAAGTCTGGATAACAGAATTCTTTTACACCCCAGCACCATTGGATATCCACAGGCTGCACAATGGAACACTTAGATATAATGTCCTGCATTTCTTAGTCAGCACGTGCTGACAGCAACTATACACCTGCTAAAGCACCCTGTACTTGCAATGTCCATATCATCCGAGGAGGATTTAGGGGGTTTTGAGGGGTTTTTTTTTCACCCCCTAGTTCAGGAGATAAGGCAGGAAGAAGAATAGAAATCATTTGAAGGTCCAGGATGGCTGAAGCATGAAGCTGAACTGGACACTTCTCTGTAAGGCTGAGGTATCAGAGCCTGCTCGTCAGGAAATCAGTTTGGGTAAAATTTAATCTTAACTGATTTTTTAAATCCATTTATGCATTTTCTTTAATTGAGCGAAAATACCCACACGATAGCCTAGAGATGAATGTAGAAGTGCTCTGTGTAGAGAGCTTCAGCCAAAACCCAACACGCTGAGGTTTCAGGGGCACCACTCATAGTACAACCTGCAGCATCCCCAGCAGAGCAGGTCACAGTGGCCATGCAGCGTGTAACGCTGTGTCTCACTGTCTCCTCCAGCACAGCCACCAACTACAAAAACTGCAGGTTTTTTGGAAAGGTGCTGTGACATGCTCTACAAGCCCGTTGAGCTGACACTGCTACCAGAAGAGGTGGTTCTGCTGCTTGTTCTCGTACTGTCCTTCCCTTCGCTCTCACTGCTACAGGTGATGGGACAGTAGGACCTCACAGCTGGGGACAGGGTAACAACTTCTTCTGGTGGCAGTGCTGGTTTACACTGTTTTTACGAGAGCAGTAGCAATGACTGGCAGTGCCCTGGAACACTGGGTGGTGCAGCAGGAGACAGACTGCTCCAGGTTTGATCCCAGAAAGCAGACACAACCTTATTTCTGTATTTTTGTATGGTATGATGATCACTCTTGGTCATATCAATGGTCCAACAAACCAACCACGCCATCTCTCAAGACCCAATGAGAGCAGATGCCTAATACAGCACACACACAAGGAGCCTACGGTATCTCCTTGGCGCTGTCTCCCAGCCATTTATGGCTCCCAAAGACCATCCGAGGTGACCACAGGTCCTTTGCTTACACCATTCCAAAATGGATTTTACTTTTATGAATTTGTCTAATTGTCCGCTGTATCCACATGTATTTCGGACATCCAATATCCTCCGGCAGGGAGTCCCACCACTCAGCTGCCAGCAAAGCAGCATTTCATTCAGCTTGTGTTTTGAACATCTGGTTTCAGATGGCTCTGTGGAGCGATGGGGCACCTCAGTCCCCATTTACCCTTTCCTCATCACTCAGAGACTGAAGGTTCATTATCTGAAGTTTGCAGCAAAGATAATTCAATTAAAACTCTTGCAAATGTGCAATTATATTTGCTCAAGCTCAGTTCAAGACAAGTACCTTTAACTGTCCAAATTATAATTTGCACTCTTTTAAAGATTTATTGATTTGTATGAATAGAATGTGTGAATTTTCCTTCAAAAGTAGGAAACTCATTTTCTGGGAAGCAAGCCACTAGCGAACATAAACCTTCAAGAAGAAGCATCAAATAAAGAACTGTAGCTTGGCAGCCACAGAAAACTCCTCTTGCACCTTAAAACACGTTCTTAATTCCATCAAGGTGTATCCTGCAGGCTCTGCAGCCACCGCCTTATCGACAAGTGTTTACATTTTGGCTTAGAAGCTGGATTGTTAATCAATCCTTGTCATCTATCTCTACTTCGCTATTTATCTTCTAAAGTCAAGGGCATCAGTCAAGATGAACTAATGCACCAACACCCTCTGCAACAAAACAAGCATGTCATGAATATTCACGAAGTCACCAGCAAGTAAGCTGGAAAAAAGGGGAAAAAAGTGGCAGCCCCACAGTAATGGTTTTCTCTCAGCACGGAAGATGGTGAATGCCATATTATATTGCAAAAGGATCAGTGGTTGTAGCAGAGCAACTCGGGAGAGAAGTGAAAATCCATCACGGGCTTCCCCTCCCACGCAATCAGGGGTGGAAATAGGCTTTTTGGCAAAGAGACTAAACCACAAACGGATTCAGAGGTAACATTTTCCATTTTGCTCCTTTACAAGGCAGCGCGCCTTCCTCGGCTCCTCCCAGTGTTTTAAGAAGAGCGTGGGGAGGGGAAACCCTACACAACAAACCCATAATGAGGGCAGGAAGAAAGGAGAAAGAGAAAGCAATAGTTTGGGGTTTAGGGACCGCCGTGCTCTGCACCTTTCACAGCTCATTGCATCTCTGCTTTCTTGAGCTTTCTTGGCTTTCTTGAGTCACCATGAACTTCCAAGCAATGTCCTTACACCCCTCCCGGGGAGTGCATCCTCACTGCTACCTTCTGCGTGCCGACCTTTGAAATACAGGAACAAAGCTGGGAATGTCCTAAAATAGCCCTTAGGATGGCCAAAAAGGGCTAAGAAAAACCTCCCCCTACACCTCTCCCTTTTCTAGTTCATTTACTGGTTGGTTCGGCAATGTTTTTCTCCCATAAAAGTCCATAACATGCAACATAATGAGACTTTGATTAAGAATAATTATTAAGAAAGCATATTTTCCAGGTTTTCTCACTCTTTTGGGGACTAGACTGCAGGTCAGACTTTGTGAGTATATATAGGAGTTTATCTCCCATAAATGTAAATTATTCCCAACGGTCAAGAACTTCCTAAGCAAGAAGAGTCCAAACGACAAGGCTCTTGTTAATACAACAGGGGATTTCTCCTTCTTCGCTACCAGCCTGGACATGAGACACCTGAGCAAGAATCTCAAAGAAATAAATACATTGAAAAATATGGGGTTTTTTATTATAGGTTTCCCAACTGGGGAATGGAACCTATATAGGAACCTGACACATTCCTACTGGTGTGATGCACTCACAGGGCACTTCATGACCAATTTTTTCCAAGGTAAATTCTTAATTTTATACTGATTTTTGCAAAAATAATTGAACTTTGTTTCTGTGTTACATTTAATAGAAAGGTACGAAAAAGGGAAAAAACCATTGTCACCTAATGGCTAACGGGCACTATTGCAAAGCTGAAATAACTGCAGGTTATCAGTTTAATTCTTCAAGTTCCCTATATAATGATATAATCCCTACATGAACCAACAAGAAGAACAAACTCACAGAGAGGTGACCCAGCCCAGAAACAGAACCAGTGACATCCCAGCTTGTTAAAACACCTTCCCCCTTCAACAGGGAAATATTTAACAGTTCTTGAATTGATCCCAATTAAATCAAGTCCTTAATTTAAGGTTCTTCTCATACAGAATAGAAAGTGGAAGAGAAGGGGGGAGGGCTGTGATTCTCTGTAGGTTCTCAGGAGATTACACCACTTTGACCATCGCTGAACGTTAATTGCAACACAGGAGTCAGGCAATGCGACGAAAGCAAGCTTATTTAACTGTCATGCTTATTTCTCTTATCTTTCCTTTGCACCTCTAAGCAAAATAAGCCATTATTGTATATTTAAAAGAAAGTCTTTCCTATTTTACATTATCAGCAATTTTGCAACTGTGTTACTTTGGTACTTTGGTCCGTAAGAAGCGTGATTCCAGGGTCTAAAATATGCCAGCTCCCACTATCTTACATACTGGAAAATTAAGATTACACTGGGGTTTAAATATACATGATACAAGAAATTTTATTATTTTCAATGTTATTGTTTCTTATGCAATTGTGCAATCTTTCTCTGAGCTTAGAGTAACACTTTTCGTTTAAAACCAGCAGATTTCAGTAGTCTTGGCAACATTCAATGTTATTTTCTCTCAAACTGTGGCAAAGTTGAACTGAAACAGTAGTGTGTGGTAAGCCACACTGGCACTTTGCTGGTGACACTATCAAGGTCTCTAGAACATAGACTAGTTATAAAAATACAGTTAATTTCCACTTCTTGTCACTGCAAATAGAACCATTTAAAATGTGAACCCATGCAAATCGCTTTTCTGCTGAGAGTGTGGCATTTCCATGAGCCAAGGAAGCATCCCTTCAATATGGGATGTAGGATAGATTTTCTAGTCCAATGACAATAATTAAAATGTTGATCTCAGAAGATATTTCTTGACTCATCCGATGCTAACATTTTATGCTGGGAGAACACGTTATTAATATAGCAAGACCTGCTCCCCAAGCTTCCAGCTCTGTATTTGATTAAGTCAGTGAATCCGGCTTCAAACAAGGAGATCCACTATTTCACTACTGATAAGATTATCAGAAACAGATTATCATCCTGTGGGTAGCTCCCGGACAAGTATGAGGATTCCCCACCACAGTACAACCCATAATGGTCATAGGGTACACTCCATTTATTCCAAAGACTCTCAATCAAAAGTTTAGCTGTAAACAGATACTCCAGTGAGACTGAAAACATCTAAGAAACAATGGAAGT